AATTACAAACTACGTAATTGAATTATATCACAAATTACAATTACATTTGATATTCTTTAAATGAAAATTCATCATTTAATAGTCAAATAATTTCAATACTTGTTCGCTTTTAACAATGTAAATGCCTTTACATCAAAATTTCCACCTAGAAAAAATAATTTACAAGGCAAATTTTTCTAGTAAAAGCATTTATCAGTATGCATATTATTCAACCAAAGTGAACCAGTATTGAAACTATTTGAATATTAAATGATACATGTTGACTTAAAAAATCTCAATTATAATTATAGTAATTTGTCTTATAATTCAATTGCGTAATTAGTAGCACTTGTTTACTTTCATGCATATATGAAATTATTATGCATGAAAATACACCCTAGTAATGAATTCTAATGTATTTAAAAAATTTGCGAATGCGAAAGAATATTTATTTTAATCCAAAAAGTGAAAGGCAGTGAAATGTTCAAGTATGAAAGTACGACAAATTGAACAAATACTCTGAATTCTGATTTGTTCTACTCACGATAGATGGTGATTTACTATTTAGTAATTGTAATTGAAGAGGTAATTGAATTACAATTACATCATGCCTAAATGTGCAATTACAAATTACAAATTATCAATTACATTTAGTTCAATTACAAATTACAATTACATTTCTTGAATGAAGTAATTGTCAATTAATAATTTGGCCAGGTCTGCCAATTACTTAATGAATAACTTAGTAAAGTATATAAATAAATTAAAATAAATTAAAAACACACCTTTTCTTCAGCCTGGGTCCGTCTGTTCAAAAGAATTTGCGTCTTTTTGTCCTTACCCCTGAACAGAAATCAATTAGATTCAATGATACTAATTATTATTTATCTACTATGAGAAATCAATATTAACCCGTTTTCGTGCCAACCTTTTATTCTGAAACCAAATTCGAATTAGTCGTTCACTTAGGCCAGTCATTTCCACTAATTGTGCCTTCATCAAACCTGTAGATCATGGCATTTTTACTTTGAAATGAAATTAAGTAATTGTTTAGTTGAAAAAATGGGTTCTGGTACCATCCGGTCGCGGGTCCGCGTTGTAACAGGTGCGCAATGTATGTAGCTGTTTCTCGGTTAAAATGGTGCGGATCCTGTTCGGATTGTCTGTTTCGGTCGGATCTACTTTGGCGGGGGAAGTGGTGGGGAGAAGTTTGGAAATAAATACATTTTTAAATTTACGAAAAATAAATTTGCCCATTTGGAAAGTGCATGTAGTCTAAATTCTATATGAAGTACTAATCTTTAATTTCGAGGTCAGAGTGCACTTACATACTTTTTAAATAAGTTAGGTTGAGGGTATTCATCATTTCTTCGTATCCTTGATATTGTTTATGTCGTAAACAATTTTTGTGAGAGGACTTTGTAAAATTTTGTCGTGGAAATTCACGTTACCATGCTTGAAATTTTTATGAAACCTGATCCCTTGTTTTATCTTGTTAAACTACATATTTTACGGTGCTAAGGATGATAGGAAATAATTAATACGGATATTCAATACCCTTTTTATTTTTTAGAATGTAGACTTGCATCATTGGAATAATAACAATATTTGCTATAAGGTTGAGGATACTCATTGTTCGTTGCTATTGTTAGCACAATAAAATAGTTTACGAAGAAAAAACAAGGATTAAAGTTTCGTAAAAATCGTAACGTAATTTTTTTCGACAAAATCTTACTCCGCTTCAAAAATCTCGTAAGCAGCTTAAATTATTGAGGAATACTAAATAATGAATACCCTCATTTTAGCCCAACTCTTAGATTCAAAATGTTCTATATTTGCAGAATTGTTGTAAGATTTTTCCACGAGTAAGGGGCCGTTCATAAATTATGTAATGCAAATATTACGATTTTTTTACTTCCCCTTTAACATGTGTCACACATATAAATATGTAGGCAATGTTCCTTGGATAAGTCGGTTTCATTCTTACCTTGCCCTGTACCAGGTGTATCCCAAATATTATAAATCTTCATCAAGATTGGGCCCACAACTGCGAGATACACTGTCACGACGAAGTACTGGGAAATTTTAATCCAAGTAAACGTTCTGCATAACTGCTCCTCATCCTCGGTGAGGTCCAAGGCGGCTTCAAAGGTCCACAGCTGTAGCATTATGCAGTACAAGGTCCCCCAAGTCGCAAAACCACAAAAGGCCAAAACTAGCAATAGATGGAATTTCGTCTCCATTCCTAACTACCCGGGTTCGGGGACAATCTGTGGAACAAATTTGAATACAAATTACACTACTTTTTTAAGGAATTAAAGATATCCAAGAAATACCCAAGTAACCTTTTTCATACGGATGATTTTTTATGTAAAATTTCTATTAGATTTGACACTGATTTCATAACAATATTACTGTCCCTCCCTGCTTTTTACACTACAATTTTTTAAATAGTTTCTTAGTTCATGGCTTTTTTTAATGATAAATAATAAAAAAAATCCACATTTTAACCTTGGGCGGTTTTGGGAAAACTTAAAAAAGGAAAAGAGGACTTAAAAATTAATAATTTTTTTAGCATCGAGGTTGCGATAAAATAGAGAAGAAATCTTGCTATTTTGTATAAATTTTGTTGTCGGGATAATGAATGCATGACACAAACGTGCATACATAATTCATCGCTAAGATAATTAAACTATGTATATATGTATATATTGATTATGTGGTTGCATTTTGTCCTTAACGGTAACCAAAAAGCACACAAATGTGCGTATCTTGGTCTTTAAAAGTTGAATGTATTGTTCTTCCTTTTAAGTCTACTTGATCCGTGATTTAAGTAACAACCGAATACCTGGAACTCTAACCGTGTAAGAATAGTGACATTCTTTACCCAAGTAAGTTTTAGAAAGGTTTATTATCTTCCCTTTTTTGCGAATTTATTCGTCAAAAAATTCTCCACGAGTTAGAACTTATGATTTCACCAAAGTTTGAAGAGAAACTAAGAAAAGTAAAAAAGATGACCTCAGTAGAACGTATATGCATCTGCCTTTATTGTTTACAACTTCTAGGAAGCATCCTAAGGGCCCACATCCGGATGTAGGCCTGCATAAATTGTGTGGACAAAGTATTCTAATTCTCGGAGTGTGATGGAGAACGTCATGCCAATTGAATTTGGATAAATTCAAATTCAAATAAATTGAACAGCTGCACTCTTAATAAACAAGGTCCCAAAAAGTGGTAAACTTGAATACCAAAGAAGGACAAATTCGACCTATAATGCAAGTCAGGAACGTATGTAAATGAGTAAAACAAATCTTTGAGAATACGTGTTTATATTCAGGTTCTAAAATGTATGGCAATCTTGATGTCTAAATCTCACTTCAAAAATAATTTACTTATATTTACAATAGATAATTCTACAATAATAGAATAGATTCCATCGATATGCTCCATACATTATAAATAGAGATCCCATACTATATAGTGGCGATGGGGAACTTTGACCTAAAAATGGTCAAAAAAAGATTCTTGAAATCTCAAATTTTTGTATGATACGTCAAATATATCTGACCACGTGTCCTCAAAATTTCATAAGCTTTCTTTGAAAAACAAATTTCGTACGCAACTTCAAAGCCAGGAAGTCGGGAAACGAGTTTTTTGTAAGTACCAAAATCTGAGCGACAAAGCCTCGAAGAAGGTTTGAGTAAATTTCAACAGAGGGAGGTGTGGTCGTGCAAAAATTAGGACATACATAAAAAAGTATGGCGAATCCGAAAATATCAACTTCAAATACGCACCACAAGAAAAAACCATCATACTGACCCCTTTAAAATGAAAAACGATTAAATTTATTTTTGAAAAGTACGCATCCACGTTTGTGCCTAATGCGACGATTGTTAGCGGCCATGAAGTTAAAAATTTGGCAGATATATGGCACACATTGTCAACTTTCAATTGCCAGCCAGATAAACTCGATCCCTCACTGAATAGTATAATGTTCCCTGCTAAATTGGCCCACTTATTATTGCAAAGTTAAGCTTGACGAAGTGATAATCTTGCTCGTCAGGCAAGTGTTATAATTCGCTATCAAAATGGAAGTCTTCAAATGAATGAATCGATTAATAAATTGTGTAACGGCCAAATTTGTATCTTGATTTGAAACGGTAGCATAACCCTATTTTATTTAAAACATCAACCTACCTAACAAGTTTATACTCTTAAAAGTCAAATTCCTATGTAAAATATTAAAAAATCTCGTACATAACGTCGTATGTACCTTATTTAAAGATAAGAAGAATATGTACTAAGGATGCAACGCAACAAGGAATAGTGCCCTCATTGTTCTTTGGGTACGTTCAAAAAAGTTGTTATCAATCTCATCTTGCCCTTCACCCGGTGTAGCGCAATCATTGTAAATTATCAGCAACAAGACGCCAATAGCTGTGAGATAAGACGTCATGACGAAATACTCGGAAACTTTAAGAAATGCAAATATTTGGTGAAACTGGTCTGGATTCGGGGACAGTTTCAAGGTGTCTTCAAACTTCTTTAGGTCACAAACTATGTGCATCATGGTCACCCAGGACGCCAGCACGGAGAAGGCCAATATTACCGAAACATAGCATTTGCCCTCCATTCCTGAATACCCGGGTTTCGGGGACAGCCTGGATAACAAAGTTTTTTGGTGAAAATTAAAACCAATAAACTTTTTTTCGTACACTCAAAATAAAAATTTGTCGAATCAACACCGCCGGTGTCAATATATGACTTAACCGCCTTGGTTACAATTGTGATTCCGAGTTATGACGATTTTGATACCGGTAGTTATAATGTTATTACCGGACGGAAAAAATTCATTACTACTCGGAAGCACAATTGTAACCAAAGCGGTTAAGTCATATATGTATTGACACCGTTTTGTTTTGAGTGTATGATTTTGCTGACTGTCTATGTCTCTGTTTCCGCCACCACTAAATAGGCTTAATTGACGCAAATAATGCAATTGTAATTATACAAATTTTTAATGCATCTTAAATGTTTTATTGAAACTTTTAATTCAATAAACATAAAAATGTAATTACACCGAATTAATTTATTTTCCCAGTGCGGCGACGACATCAATGCGCCCGTGACCTTAATTATGACATAATATGAACTTAGCGATCTAGCTCTTTGATAAAAGTTTTATTTTGTCTTACCAAACGCATTATTAGGAAAATCGTCAGGTCCGGGAAGACCACAGTTTCGGTCGGCATTCGTCAAAGTTGGCCTGGCCGCAGTGGTCGTTAGGGCCGCGTAAACCTCGTCAAAACCCCATGTAGGGTTGGCCGAGAGGAGGAGGGCAGTTGCCCCAGCCACGTGGGGGCAAGCCTGTCAAAGATGATAAACTTGTAACTAATTACTTACAAGAATAAGTATTTATGAATTTTACCATTGAAGTTCCCGACATGGTGACATAATTTGATGTCCCCGTTCCGCAAGAAAGGATCTGCGTTCCTGGCGCTGACACTTCCGGTTTCGTTAGCCCCGCGATGCTAGGGCCTCTCGAAGATAGAAAGTTCATACCATCTTGGTCGTTCGTGTTTCCTACCGAGATCAGATTGGGCTGATCACCTGGAGACCCCGCCGTTCTACATAATGGACCAGAGTTACCCAGCGCGAAAATTGGAATCATTCCCGCCGCGCGCCATGCTGAGACTTGCGTATTGAAAAATGTTGAGCCTCCCCTTCCCCCCCAGGAATTGGAAATGATATGTGGCCTTGGATTTGTTGTTAGCATGAATTCCGCACAAGCCGTGAGTTCTACCTCGGTCCCATTCCCGGTATTGTTCAAACCTCGACATGCAATCCATTTAGCGGCCGGTGCAACCCCAACGCCGTTCTGGGTTCCGAGTACGGTCCCAGCACAATGGGATCCGTGGCCTTGGACGTCCGTCGGTCCGGGGGTGGAATGGTGGGGGTCGAGCCAACCGCCGGCGTAGGAATCGGCGAGCGCGACGTGACCGAGATTTACTCCAGTGTCGATAATAGCGACGACGACGCCCTCTCCGCGGGTGGTACTCCACACATCGGGGGCCCTAATTTTCACCACGCCCCACTGGTTGGGACCCTGGTTCACTTCGGCGGGATGTACTTCGATGGAGGGGAAGATGGAGACCACGTGTTCCTTTCGGATCTCAAATTCCCCCGGGGTTGCGGCGAGTTGAGCCAATTTCTCTGGTGTAAGGCCCTTAACGTGGATAATGTTGGAGGACCAAAATTGTTGAATCTGAAGGCCCAGGGAGGACGCAATAGAGACAAAAGGGGCTTGAGCGGCGGATGTTAGTCCTTGCAAAGAGGCGACGAGGGCGGTGACTTTGGAATCCCCGGAAAGGGACAGGAGCGCAGGGTTGGATTCGACTTGCGCCATGATTTGGGGAAGTGCGAGAATGGCGGAGGTGGTTTGCCCTTTATCCACGGCGGTTTGAAGGTCTGGGTCCACAGTGCCGGCGAAGGCGAGTGCCAGGCTGGTTGAGAGAATGAGGAGGAACTTCATGATGGAAGATCTTACTGGATCGTCGGGTTGGGTAGTGATGATGCAAATGAGGACAGAATTTTCTCCTTTTATACCTGTCCACGTAACATAAATAGATGGACACCGTGACAAATAAATTTCCCAGTCCGTGAGGAATTGAGATTAGTGGATCAGTAAATTCCCTCATATTTCGGAGTTCCCAAAAACGTTGGAAAAAGTTGACAGAATTAGAATGATGTGATCGTGCTAATTTTGGCAAAGGGACTTTTCCCCATTGATAAGACGGGTGGCTTATCTATGTATTACATGCATGCAGAAGAGATTAAAGATTAAGCTCTCTTGCGGAATTTGTGCATTGCGCAATTTGCTTTGATAAGTGGAGAGAAGTATTATAATAATAATTATGTAACTCTTACAGATTTATCGTATTAAAGTAAGTAGACATTCAATGTTATATTTATATATACCTAATCTGGATTAAATTCTGTCCTCATTTCAAAATTCTTGAGGAGATTACGGATTACAGTAATCAGAGTAACGATAATCCAGATAATAATATGGACTACAAAATCTGTATTTATCCTGAATAACGTCAAATTTACAATCGATCATGATGACTAGCTTTCTAAAATATGAGCTTACGGATTACACGTGATTTCCAGAACTAATGAAGATTACGGTCAACGGATTGCTTTAATTTGCATACTTTCCGTGGATTACTGGATTACATTCAAAGTAATCTAATTATTTAATCTAATTGAAGTAATCCTGGGATTGCCCATCCCTGAACATAATGTGCTAAAAATTTTTTTTAAAACGAGGATAAAATTTAATCCAGATCTTTTCCATGGATAAATATATCTAACACACCCGATATTCGACTTTCCGACCCCTTACACATGGAACGTATATTTCCAGTGCGAACGTATACGAATATTGAATGTGTACTTTATTAAGATAAATCTGTAATAGTTACATAATTATTATTACACTTATCAACGCAAATTACGCAATACACAAATTCCGCAAGAGAGCTTAACTTTAATCTATTTTGCATGCATGTATGTAATACATAGATAAGCCATGGGTCTTATCAATGATTAAAAGTTCCTTTGCAAAAATTAACATGAACACATCATGTTATTTCTGCCAGCGTTTCCAAGTTTTTTGGGAACTCCAAAATATGAGGGAATTTACTGATCCATAAATCTCAATTTGGCATGGAATGGGAAATTTATTTGTCCCGGTGTGAATCTATTTTATTTCTATATTATCTGGACCGGTATAAAAGGCGAAAATCCTGCATTCATTTGCATCATTACTAACGAAGCCGACGATTCAGTAAGATCTATGCACAATCATGGCTGTCAACTTTTATGTAAAAAAACCTCTGATCCTTGGCTTGACCGACATAATTTTGCAATTTAAAAAAAGAACGTCATGGAACAACAATCTTCCAAGTTCCGATAATACTACGCTGAAAATTGCCAAGGAGATTTTCTATCGCACAATTTATTCTGCTATATGTACAATGTATTGGAAATGATTATTAATTAACCCCGACAGGCCAGATTTGTATATTTGTTAAGATAATAAGGATGCACCGATACAATATGCCCAAATATCCCTTTCATTTTATTGTTAAGGCATATCTTACTGGTTTTGTCAAATGCTAAGCAGAAGTTAGGCAAGCTGAAGTTAGGTAAAAAATAGTTTGATTTTCGGAATTAGGTATCAAATTCTAAAAGAATGTAATTATTTTCCACTGTATTATCATTTTTTTTATTTTTTTTAACTCGGCTACTTAGACATAGGAATATTGTACATAAAACAAATAACTACAGTTTATTATCTTAAAATTAGGTTTAGCTAATTAACTAATTATGCATACATACACTATTGTACTTGTTTTAATTACTTTATTCGAAGTTTGTTGTGTCTACGTCCTCAAAATTTAATGGTATTTAAGTATGCTCGATAAATATATATATATCTTTCTATAACCAAACTGTATTTTTATTTGATTGTTCCATTTTTTAATTACTATTCGTAGCGCAATTCCAAATCAAACGCGCGCAATATACAAAAACTATTTATTAATTTTATCAATTTACATACCATCGTGACTGTTTATTGTTCCTTCATGGGCCCGAGGTGGCCTTTACAAGGATTGCAAAAAACTTATCTTAAATCTTATCTGATCCTGTCTTATCTATAACCAGCCTGTGGTAATTGGCCACGGCTTAATTTAAATGTATAAATATATTTCCTAAATTTAAATTCACTGACCACTGTCACTACAAAAGTGCAGAGAGTCCCAACAAAAAATATGCTAGTTTCTCTATTTATTAAGGGGTGAAAGCCCTTTATAAGATCGTTATGTCCGTCTGTCTGTCCGTCTGTCTGTCCGTTGGTCCGATAACTTTTGAACGAAACGACATAAAGACTTGAAATTTTGAACGTTAACTCCTAACGTCAAGGGACAGGACGAGTTCGAAGATGGACACTGTGACATCGTCCCCTGTGACGATGACGTCGTCACAGTGACGAAAAGTGACGAAAAAGTGTCACGTGTCAGTTTTGACATGTGACACATCATTTTTAACTCTTTTCAATGAAGAATTCGAATATTCATGTCATTTTGCGATTGGACGTCACCTGTGACGATGACGTCGTCACACCGACGAAAAGTGACGAAAAGTGTCACATTTCAGTTTTGGCATGTGACACATGATTTTTAACTATTTTTCAACGTTGAAATCAATGGTGACCTACATTTTGACCTCAGAGGTCATCTAAAGGTTATAGGGAATATATATGTCAATTTAACAGGAAATTCATTTTAACGTATGAAACAGTTCTTTCACCCCTTGGTTACATTCGTTGTAACGGTTTATTTATCATCTATTTATCTATCAATCAATTTTGTAAAAGTTAAAAAAAGGGAGGCCAATGTAAATTTTCTCCTTCACTACATATTTTTATAAATTAAAGGGTGTTGTTTCGCTACGAATGAAATCTGTCGTTACTATTAATTTGAAGAGTCCACCATAAACTCTGATTGCTAAAATGGAGATTTTCATAAATCTTGATTTACTAGCAATATTACCAAATTTGGTACATTGGCAAACATCGAATTGTGCAGACATTGACTACTGTAGTGAGTGTGTACGTATTCCACAATGTGTTTTTTAATCACTCGAGAATTACAGCTACTGTGCATTGGAAAGAGAGAGCTTCTTTGTCTTCGTATCAAAACTTGCATTCGAGACTCCGAACGTTGCCAACCAACCTTGCTATATCGAGGTACGTACTGGATGCATGTAAATAATACACTTTTATGGAAAAGTATTTACCATTAATTTTTTAGACATATCCCATTAGAATCTGACCTATACCAGGGTGCCGTTGGAACTAGAGCTGTGCGTAGGGTCGGGTTTACCCTAAAAAACCCTACCCTACCCTATCCTATAGGGTTTTGGGTGGGCCGGGTTTTTTGCCCAGGATAATCCAGTAGGGCCGGGCGGGTCGGGCTTTTTCCAGTAGGGTTTTGGGCGGGCTAGGCTTTTTTGTTGGGCTTCGGGCTTTTTAATTTACCCTACTGATAAAGTACAATATGGTAATTTGAGACAAAACTTCATGGTTTTATATAGCCCCAGCTAAAGCGGAATTGTTTATCTGTAATGATATGGAATTGTTTTCACTGGCTGTTTTATTACACGATCCAATTTTATGAATAAATAAATCTCAACTGTAAATCACATCAGTGATATTAAGCAAAATTATAAATACAGTCCTATTAAATACAAGGACTTAGCTCAATTTTTGTTTAAACTAAAATAACACAAATTTACTAAATATCGATGATAATAAGCGTTAGATTTGTCCGACATTGCATTTTTTGTTAACACAATTAGTGTACATGTCTAATCGAGTCTCCGAAAGCCTTGGCAAATGAATAGTGGTTTTTAAGGATAAATACGTGCAGAACTGCATATTGGTGGGTTTACCCTAAAAAAGCCCTACCCTATAGGGTTTTGGGCGGGCCGGGCTTTTTATCAGAAAACCCTGTAGGGCCGGGTGGGCTGGGCTTTTTCCAGTAGGGTTTTGAGCGGGCCGGGCTTTTTGCCCAGAAAAACCCAGTAGGGCCGGGCGTGCCGGGTTTCTTCCAGTAGGGTTCTGGGCGGGCTGGGTTTTAAAGATCGAGCCCGTGCACAGCTCTAGTTGGAACCCAGCCTTGCAATGATCTTGAAAATGGATCCAGTTGCAACTTTTCCAACCACTACTGCAAAAATGCTTCACGCACTACTTCAAAATGCTCCACCCCTTTCTGTACCACCTTTAGAGATAGATGCCTTCATCGTCAACCCAACGCAACAAGAGACGACCAAATAAATTAAATCTACAAATTAACCAATCTTACCTACAACCACTGCTACAACACCCACCAGGTTAACTTTGAGAAACCTGGATATTATGGAGCCCAAAGCTGCAGGCACAATTCAGCCAGTAATTAATGCTGAGCCAAATTCTGGTGCATTCACAGACAAGCTGGCTATATCCCTTCTCCATCATTTAAAAAGGATCTGCTATGACGTAACCTTACTTAACAGAATTATTTCCTATTTATTTTACCAGTGCCAATCTGATTTCTATTACAAAAAAGGAACATCGTCCAACGTCGTGGGTCGGACACTTTACTGGATTAGCAAAACGGCAACTGATTTTAGTGAACCTGAAGTCATGACAGGCGAATTCAGTTATGCATGCGAATCCTTTAAAGGACTGTTTAACGTTATGAGAAGAGCGTTGTTTCGGCGTTGGAATTGGTTTCCATGTCTTGTCTGTATTTTTGTAATACTTGGTTTGAGCAAGAGTATAAATAAATTCAGACAAAATTATAATTAGAAAGTCACCTGCATTTACCTCAGTCTGTCTGATTTTCTTTCATTTCACAAGTTTCATTAGCACTAGCTGAAAGCACATCGCCAAAGCATACAAGCAACGGTCCCAAAAAGATGGGAATCTTAGTGAGGCTTG